CCTTACTTGGCATTATGATCTGCTTACTATTTTAATAAAGCAGAAATATGCATTAATGGAATTCTGTTAGATTAGGGAGCTATGTCCAGCGTGTTTTATCTACGACTTAGAGGAATATATGGATGCTGCAAAGTCGAGCCTTGAGGCTCGCAAAAGGATGATGGAATCAGGGTCCAAGCAGACCTCAGCAGTCTGGTCTCATGAGCCAAAAGCAACAAGAGGAGATTTAGTAGTGATTAATGTTAAATTTTGCATAAGCACCAGTGGAAAAGTTGCCCCTGCCATCCTTGTTTTGAAGAAGACCCTATTTTTAGAAACAGTTGCTGACATTTATCACACATACACACACACACACACACACACACACACACACACACACACACACACATGCCAGCTACATTTGTGGGGATGCTGTGTGATTTGCTTTCTGTGTGCTGATTTATTTAAGTGTTGTCTGAATAATGATGATTGTCACTGCTTAACAGGAGTTTTACAAAGGTTAAAAACTTATCCTAACAGCCGCAACCATCATGCAATTCCACTTCCATAGGGAGTTCCAGTAAATGGTGTGCCCGAAATAGGAGGAAAGGAGGGGAGGGAGGAGGGAGGGAAGGGCAGAGGGAGTAAGGAGGAAGGGGAACTACAAAAGAAACCTGAGACAGCTGGGGGATGAGGCTTAATTCAGCCCCCAGAACTAGCATAAAAAAGTGGTATAAAAAAGCCAGGCATGATGGCATGTGCTGGTAATCCCAGTGCTGGGGAGGCTGAGACAGATCTCTTGGGCTAGTCAGTCAGTCTAACCACAGTAGTGAGCCCCAAGCCAATAAGAGACCCTGTTTCAAAAACAAAAATTAAGGTGGACTGCACATGAGAAATGACACCTGAGCTTGTTCTCTGGTTTCCACATATTCTTACACACACAAACATATAATCATTTGCAAATGCACACACGTGCACGCACACACACACACACACACACAAGCATGGAAACGTGGTCATAGGGGCAATGCATGGTCTGTGTACTTTTTAGATAACAATACTGTGTTCTAGACACTGCATTTTAAGATAGAAAATTTGCTTTCCCCTTTTTAATTTAAAGTTTTATTTTTTGAGAATTTCATACATGAGTACTGTATTTACATACCTAACAGTGCAGAGATTAAAAGTAGTCAGGAAAGAGCTGGGAGAGGGGAAGGCCTTGGGGGTATTAGTCATGTCTGGAGGCTTTGGGAAAGGTCTAGAAGGACCAGGCTGGGCTCACAGCAGGCTTCTCTGAGGGAGGGAATTTCTGGGAAAGGGGCTCTGTCTCAGCATGAGGAAGATCAAAAGAAATAGAGGCATGGATAAAACCGGGGACATTGGTGCTGCTTTGTGGCTAAGAACAGATGACAGGGCAGGAAGTGCTGCTGGGAGGAAAGGTACCGGGACCTGCTAACCCCAACCATCTCCATCGAGCAGGAGAGGGAACAACCCAGAGGCTTCTGGAGATGCAGGTGCTTTATGTCTTCTTAAGGGGAACAATCTGACAGATCCAATGAGAGAAATCAAATACTTGCATTTTATAACACGCCTGTTTTAATTATTTTAGAATCAAGATGTTTTTTGTAAGTAAAGGTGGAGAATTTATAGAAAGAAACCAGATTCTAACTATAAATTGAACAGATGGGATAGTGGGAATAAAAATAAATTAAACAATATTGCAAGGTGTACTCAGCTTTCATTTAAAAATATATGATGGTATTTTTCAACTTTTCACATTCAACTGATTTATAGATTGAGTGACAAAATGAAAAATCAACTAACTGAAACACCCATAAATAGGATGGGTTTAATTAGCTCCCATTCCTGATGACAGATTTGATCAGATGCCAGCTTTTCGTCCCTTCCTTCTACTCTGCTGTGACGCAGGCACTGCTGCACAGGAATGCCCACTGTGCTATAAATAGGTAGCTTGGCAAGGAGCCATCAGACCCTCTGACCCGTGAAACTTGAATGAAAATGATTGGAAACCTCCTTTTCTGCTTCCTGTCATTATTTTTCATTTTGGTTTTGAAGGTCTTTCCTACAGATCCCTGTCTTAATTTATTTTATTTTGTTTTATTGACTGGATGAGGTAACTTGCCTGAGGGCTTAAGGAAACCCGAGCAATATCTAATTCAGTCACGAGCTGTCGTTTAGTTACTGTGTCATGGTTCCCTTCAAAACCTTTGCCATTCTCTAACCTACAGCTTTCCTATTAAATTCTGTCAGATTGAACATTTCCACAGGCCAAGAAGCTATTCATCTTTTTTTTTGTTTTATTGACTGGATGAGGTAACTTGCCTGAGGGCTTAAGGAAACCCGAGCAATATCTAATTCAGTCACGAGCTGTCGTTTAGTTACTGTGTCATGGTTCCCTTCAAAACCTTTGCCATTCTCTAACCTACAGCTTTCCTATTAAATTCTGTCAGATTGAACATTTCCACAGGCCAAGAAGCTATTCATCTTTTTTTTTAAGTATTATTAATTTTTTAAATAG